TGTGAAGTTTCAGAGGGAAGTATAAAGACTCTTTGTTGGGGGGGGCGGCATTTGTTATATTGAATTAAGCTTCTGTGGTTCTGGTTACCTGGGGCGGATGAACCCGTTGCTATTAAGAAGTTACCAGAAGCTCCAAAGTGAAATCTTTGCTTTGCCTGGGTCCTTGATGCTGGTCGGCTGGAACTGAGAAATTATTGGTGATTAAAAAGAGACCATCACTGTTGAAATGAAATCTCGAAATCGTGTTTCCTGAAAGTCAGCACGCAGAGACTGTGTTCCTGACATGGGCAAGGGTGTGCCTCATGCTAGCAGCTGAACTGGGTTAGCCAGTCACCCAGGTGGTACTGGTTTTGAAGGCAGCAAAGGGTCATGGGGAGCAGCTGAGGCTGGGCACAGGGGTGGAGGCCCTGGAGAGGCCCAGGAGAGGTTGCTGGTGAATGTGCAGCCCGGTTGCAGCAGAGACTCCAGCATTTTGGAGATGCTGGTACCGTGGAATGACCCCCAAGAACAGCAGCAGCAGAGGAGAGGAGCCAGCCTAGAAGACAGCTGTGTGTGCTGCAGATGACAGAACTAGAGAGCTAAGCCTTTTGAGGAGCCCAGAGGTTCATGAGTGGATCCTGGACGTTGAATTTGAGTCATTTACACTGTTGGGGGTTTGGTTTTGCTCTGCTCTAGTTATGACCGTGCTCTGGTTCTTCCTCTCAAAGTGAGAAGGTACTTAAATTTAATCTGTATAGACACCCACAGTTAAGAGTTTGCACTTGTAAAACAAAAAAAAAAAAATACGGATTTTAAAGAGATGGAATAGTTTAAAGCAACTGAACTTTTGGATTTTTTTTTAATTTGTAAGAATGGGACTTTCAAAGTCATTTGTGTTTTTAATGTGAGATCTCAATATGGATGAGAAAGGGGAGGTTGTGGCTTAACCTTGGTGTGTTTGTGTGTCAAGCTGACAAGGGGCCTATGGTGCTGAAGTCACCTTAGAGGAGGGAACCTCGATTTTTAAAACGCCTCAATAAGATTGGGCTGTAGACAAACCTGTAGGGCAGTGGTTCTCAACCTGTGGGTCACGACCCCTTTTCGCAGCTGTCACCTAAGACCATTGGAAAACAGATATTTACATTATGGTTCATAGCAGTAGCAAGATTACAGTTACGAAGTAGCAGTGTAAATGATGTATGGTTGTGGGGAGCACTGCGCACTGCATTAAAGGGGTCCGGCAATAGGAAGGTTAAGAACCACTGCTATAGGACACTTTCTCAGTGACTGGTAGGGGTGGACCCCAGATCATTGAGGGCGGAGCCATCCCTGGGGTGATGGTCCTGGGTTCTACAAGAAAGCAGGCCAAAGCAAGCCAGGTGGAGCAAGCCGGTAAGCAGCTCCCCTCCATGGCCTCTGCATCAGCTCCTGCCTCCAGGTTCCTGCCTGCCCTGTTTGAGTTTCTGCCCTGACTTTTCTCAATGGTGAACAGTGATGTGGAAATATAAGCAAAGCAAACCCTTTCATCCCCAACTTGCTTTGATCAGGCGTTTCCTCACAGCAACAGTGACCCTAACTAGGTCACTTTTGTATGTTGGTACTTAGCTAAACGTATTAAAACTCTTACAGTTTTCTAGAGAGGCCTTCGGTATCTTTTAAATATAAGATCATACCTTCTCCAAATGAGGATATTGATTCCTTCCTTTCCTGTTTGTATCCCTTTCACCTCTTTCTGTTTCCTAGCTGGTCTAAAAGTTAAAGCAGTAATCAGTACATTGACCAGGGAAGAAGGTAGATAACCTTTGTCTCCGTCCCAATTTCAGGGGAAATATTTGGAGTTTTTCCTCATTTAGTATAATGTTGTGGTGAGGTTTTCATTTATTAAAGTATTCTCCTTCTATTACTTTTTCTTGGGGAGTTTTATCACGAAGAGATATTGGAGTTTGTCAAAGGTCTGGTAGAATGAGAAATGAACTGTCCTGACCATGGCTTTACTTCCTTGAGAAACTTACGGTTTCAATCCCATTGCTCTTTATGAAGCTGTGTGGTTGTTTAAATTCTCTTGATAGATCACATGGGACTCGAAATGTATCTGTTCCTTTTAGTTTTTCCATGTTTTGGAATGTGTTTCTTGAAGTGTCCTCTCATGATCCTTTGGGTTTCATTGACATCTATTCTAATGTTTCCTCTCACATTTGGGCTTTGCCTTGGCTGATGTCTGATAATTTCATTCATTATCTCTCAGAGAACCAACTCTTTGTTTCATTGATTCTTTATGCTGTCCTTCTAGTCTCCATTTATTTCTACCCGTTTATTTCTTTCCGTTTACTCATTTGGTGTTTGGTTGATTCTTGTTTTGCTACAGTGTTAGGTGAATCATCATCTGCATTGTTGCTGTTTGTTATGTAAACATTCAAAGTTGCAAGCTTTCTTGTAGAAATCTTTGCATCTTCCGGTAGTGGCCCGGTGGCTCATCATGTGTGGGGCAAAATGGAGCTGGAGGCCATGAGTAGGTTCACCAGCCGGCTCAACCGGGCTGTCTTCCTACACCTGTCTGTGGTACTTCTGCCTAGTTCTTCGTTTGTGAGGCAACCTCCACCAAGAACAGGCAGACATCTACAAAGAGCTCCTCATCTCTTTGGTGGCCTTACTTGTCACAGGCTTTGGAGTTTCCTCCCTCCCGCTTTGGTTGGCATCTATGTAGGAGTCCTCAAGGGTGCCCCCCTGCTTTTATAAATTATTTTCTTTTACCATTACTACAAGTGCTCCACCTGCTGTTTATAATAAAGACAGATGCTACAGTAAAGACAGATGCGTAGAAAAAATAAAAATCTCTTTGCTTCATCCCAAAGGTTGTTGCCATCGATTGTGCTTTCATTCTCAATTGTAAGAAAGCCTCAGTTACCTCCCTGATTTCCCAGTGATCCACTGATCATTCAGGAGTATATTATTCAATCTCCACATATTGTTACAGTTTCTCTAGCTATTTATTTGTAGCTTTAGTCCATCATTATCTGATAATACTAAAGAAATGAGTTTCATTCTTGTGAATTTAAGATGGACATTTATAGTTTACACATGAAATGCTGCACACACACACACACACACACACACACACACACACACACACACACACGGGCTCATGTGTGTGAACACTTGGTCCCTAGCTGGTGGCACTGTTTGGGAAGATTTTAGACTCTTTACAAGGTGGACCCTTGCTGTGACTTACCAGGAACTGCCCTGAGGTCTTGTAAGCCAGGCTGTCTTCTAGATTCCCTCTGCTTCCCAAGTGAGGACACAGAGTGATGTAAGTGGGGGGGGGGGCTGGTGTCATTTGGACTCCCTGGAACTGTAAGCCAAAATAAAAGTAAAGCCTTTCTCTCTTAAGTCGCTTTTGTGAGCATATTTTTATCACAGAAAGGATAAAGTAACTGATTGTGTTACAGCCTAAACTGTGTTCTGCTTTAAGGAAGGTCCCATGGGGGACCTGAAGCTTGTACTCTGACAGAATATTCATTCAGTAGATGTCTCTGAAGTCCCTTTGATCTATGGTGCAATTAACCCAATTTTCTGAGTGATCTATTTGACGACAGTTATTGAGTCACTAATTATTATGAACATCTGGACTCATCTGCTTCCTTACATGTAACACAGTGCTTATATTACAAAATGTAGTGTGCCAGTGTTTGGTAGGTGTATTTATAATTGGTACATCTTTTAGGGGTTATTTCTTCTTTATCTTGTCTAAGTATGGTTTGTTTTCAGTTGTCACCTTCTGGCTCGTCTTTGGTTTCCCTTTGTTTGGAACATAATTTTCCAACATTTTGCTTTTAGTTCACCATTATCTATGAGTCATCTCTTGTTTTTGTTTTCTTAATTGGTCAGCAAATCTCCATTTTTTTTAAGGGGAAAAGTTAAATGTATTTACATTAGGCTGTCAGTGAGCAGCCTAATGCTGATTCTTGTATTACTGTTTTTAATTGGTTCACATATAATTTGTTCTTTTTCCATTATCTGTCGCAAACTTTTTCAGATCTGCTGAAATTGATTAACTTGTTCCTAATTTTTGTTTCTCTTGTTCTCATGAAGCTTATTCTTTTCCGAGCTCTTGTTAGAGGAATTGTGCACAGAGGGGAATATGATACTCAGTTTATTCTTCAATGTGTAGGCACCTTAGTTTTAAGTTTTTTAGTTTGTGCTTGTCTTAGAAGGTCTTTATTTCCTTGTCAATTGTGAAAGACAATCTTGCTGGGTATAATGACCTTAGTTGTCAGGGATGTCTACTTACAAGGCTTGAACTATATCATAGATGCTTCTGGAACAGTTAGGGTTTCTGACAAGAGGTCTATTGTTATCAAGATGAATTTGCCTCTGTAGATGAGTTAGTACTTTTCTCTGGCTTTAGCATTTTCTTTGTTCTGTATTATTTTTTTTTTTTTAAGACAGGGTCTCACTATGTTGCCCTGGAACTCTTTTCTTAGACCAGCCTTGCCTTGAACTCATGGAGATCTGCCTGCCTCTACCTCCCAGCCAAGGTATGTGTCTACAGAAATGAAAAGTTTGGAGAAAGTCATTCTGAGTGATAATCATAAAGTTTGTGAAATAAAGTAACTCATTTTAGAAGACACGTCATATCTTAAAAGATTCCATTTTGAGACAAATGGAGAACATTTAGTTATCATAGGTAGTCTTCAAATAGGTGATATTTGGGCACTGACAGCCAGTTTATAGTTGTTTTTGTTTTTTTTTTTTTTCCTAGACAGGGTCTATGTATCTCTGGCTGGCCTCAAACTCAGAGATCCACAAGTCTCTTCCTCCCAAGCGCTGGAACTAAAGGCATGTGCCATCACACCCAGCAAGTTTATTTTCTCATAAAATCCTTGGGCCAAATGATAAAGAACTGGGGTAGGAGATTCAATTTGGAAACCTCAAAAATGTGAAACCATAGTGGTTTTATTCCTGCCATGTAGAGTAGATCACTACACATTAACAAGAACACATCTCTTTTCCCCTTTTGGTAGATGAGGACCACCCGCAAGGTTTCCGTCTGGCCGGTGGGCCTAGTTGGTGGGCGACGCTATGAACGTCCGTTGGTGAAAAATGGCAAAGTTGTCGGCTGGTACACCGGGTGGAGAGAAGACAGGCCTTTTGCCATCGACATGGCAGGTGAGCAGTGTGCAGGGGGCGTTTGCTCCTGGTGGGCAGGGTTGCTTAGGATGCTCATAGAAGAACGCTTTGAAGTACCGATTTGCATAAAGCCATTGGGACATGCCTCATTCATCAGATGGGATATTTGAATATTCAAAATGGGTTCTTTGACAGTTCAAGCTGAAAGTGAATTTGAAAGTGATGAGAAAATACTCATCCCTTTCTGTCCTTTTATCAGTGATTGTTCGTGTTATCAGTATTAGCTTGGGCATGAGGCATTTAGAGCTAAAATCTTTTGGCACCCCTGTCTAGAAGCCTGACTGATGTATTAAAACGCGTCATGTTTATTGATAAATTTAGTAATGAATTAAATTTGACAAGCCGTTTTAATGTTTATTGATAAATGTAATGGTTTATTAATGAATTGCTAAAACATATGATATTAGATTCTGGTTTTTTTTTTTTTTTACATATGCATTACTTTTTGAATAGAACTGTATTTTAAAGTTTTTCTTTCAGGGCTGAATCAAATTAGACCTGTGCAAAGCACAAGTTTTCAAATACTGCTTTATCCTGAAGGGGCTCTTTTTCTGTGGGTTATAGACAGTGATGCTTTGGATTGCTGGGCAAGGATGGGGTTTGGAAAATGATGGTTAGATGGAGGACAGTCACTGTCATCTATAACTGACAAGATGAAGTCAGGAAGGTTCCAGAATTGATCGCATCCATTACCAGCACTGTCTGTCAGCCGGGGCTCTCCCAGTTCTCCGAGCGTATTTCCCACCCACAGTCAGAACCCCTGTGTGTTCAAAATTCAGACAGCACGAAGACTGTGCCCTCAGCTGGACTTTCAGCCTTTCTCCTGATACTGAAAATTTGAGGGAATAAGATTATAAAGAATATTAGAAGTTGAGCATGAAACTTTCAGCATGGTGTATCTGTCACAATGCATCATGGGAAAAGACAAATGATTTTTTTTCCCCTCCACATTTTACATACTATAAAAGAGCATAAATTTGAGGATATTTGCTATGTTCTCTGACCCCACAGCTAGTGTAGATCCCTTATATCTGCACCATAGCCCACTCTCCATGTCCTTGGGTTTTAGTTCTTAAAGCATATATATATATATATATATATATATGTATGTATGTATGTATGTATGTATGTATGTGTATACATATATACATATATATGTATGTATATATCACGCACACACACTCATAAGGGAGGTGCTTATTCCTATGGGACGCTTGTTCCTATGGGAAACTGACCATCTCTCCCTCAGCGGCCATTGACTACCTGTAGCTCTTCCAGTTGAGGTGGGGCCACCTGAAGTTCTTCTGTCCACACTGGCATGTCTGCTGGTCTTGCTCAGGCAGCTGTACTGTTGAGAGCCCACGGGTACCTTTTCCCTGTCAGGTCTAGGGCATGCTCTAACATCAGGAGATCTGAGCCTTTGGTGTTGACAACCTTTTTGCCCCTCCTACAATTTTCTCCTAGGTGTTGGATTGCACGACAAATACATAATCTGGGGTTGGGCATCCCACAGTCCATTATTTGGGCCTTGGGATTCATAAAAGAGTCCTTTCCCATCCAGTCCCATTCAGGGCTCTGAAAATATAAGGCTAAGCGTGCATGTTGGGAAACTGAGCATTTTTATTTATTTATTTGTTTGTTTGTTTATTTAATTTTTGCTATGGTATAAGGTAGAGCAGGAAATGTGTCCTTCCACTTGTCTGGGACACAGTGCCCTCTTCTGGTGAGAAAGATAGATGCATGAGAGGACCACTGTCTACCCCCCCTCTCCCCCGCCCCAACTCTGGTGACACACCTTGATAAACACAAGGGCGCTGGACATCCAAGCCAGGGTCCAGGACTGCAGCAGAAGCCAGCGAACAGACCTTTGGCCCTGAGCTTCCCTGGGGCCGGTATTAGGGCCATTCACTGGAAAGCTCTCAGGGAACATTACCTTCCGTGAGCAGAGTCGAGGTGAGAGCAGCTTGGATAATTCCTAGCACTGCTTTCCAAACTGATGTGTCTGAGGTTCAGGGAAGACACATGGGCCTGTGCTCTGGGAGGGAGCTCTTACTGCAAGACAGGAGAGAGACGTTTTCACCGCGGGAATCTTTCCTCTCTGGCACGACCATTGTTTGGACTTTCTGCGCCTCTCCACATCTTTTCAAATCACGTTGAAACATGCATAGCATAACAAAGTGCCAGCTAGTTGTTTCTGTGGTAGTCTTCACTTAAAATAGGAATATAGTGTCACCTTCAAGAAAACTCTACTCCCCACACGGGTTTGCTCTGCATCACAGTTTTCAGTGAATTACTGATATTTTGGGGGAAGCCCAGAAATACAGGTGGTCTGGTCGGTAAGATAATGAGCCCGGGTCTGAAAAAGTCTGCCCTCATTCTGAAACTTCAAAATGTCCATCTTGGTTTACAGTTCGCTTATGTAGTCTCCATAGAAACAGGATACAGAATTTGGGGCCCTTAGATCCATGCAGTGTGTTCTTCCTCGATTTTACATTAGCATGGAGAGAGAGGGAGGGAGGAAGATGAGGGGAGAGGGGAGAGACACAAGGAGGGGGGGAGAAAGGGAAGGAGGGAGAGAGACGGGGAGGGAGAGAGGCGGGGAGGGAGAGAGAGAATGAATATGAGAACGAGTAAATAAATATGTGAATGAAAACATCTGGATTGAGAGAAGGAAGCCAGAGGCCACATCCTGAAGGGCATTGTGTGCAAACAGCTCTGTGATATTTGACTGTGAGGACTTTCCTAATGCTAAAAAATCAAAATCGCTGTCAGGTCACATGAGAGAGACACTGCTCTGAAGTTATCAAGTGTGCACAATATTAATGAGAGGAGTAAAGATCGGATCTGGTCCACGAGGTCATCCCCTAAAACTTTCTAGTCATCACTCACTCCTTAAGTTAACGTCCCGAGGAGATAGAGCGCAGGCGCTGTGGGCAGCAATGCTGTGGCTTGCTGTTGGCTTCGGGTGTACGCTGCTCTGCCAAGCCAACAGGAGACCCTGGAGTATTTCTACTGGGCTGTGCCTCCGGCTTCTATTCCCAGAATAACTCTGGCATCTGACAACTGACTCAGAGAGAGGCGGTTCACGCCACGTTCTTAGCTCTGCTTTGTGGGCAGGGAATTACTTTCAAGTGACAGTTTCATTTTGGCCACTTCCACGGAAATGTCAGTGACAAACGTTGCTTGAAAGAGCTGAGCTGAAGGTAATTTGAAGCCCAGCCAGGGGTCCATATTTGCTTAAAATCAGAACCTCATGCCGAGACCCTTGCACTGAATTATCCTCTTCTTTTTTATATTAAAGTTTTTATAAAATATATTTTGATTGTGTTTATGCTGAGTTCCTAATGTTGGTGTGGACCTTAGCATTAACTCCAGGAGGCTGGGACAGGACATTGTGGCTTAGTTAATAATGGCATGCACAGTTCTAGTTCCTAGGTGAGTGGCCAGCATGCAGTGGACACCCTATTCTGGCAAAATCCCCACTGAGGGTACCTCAGTTTGGGCACTAATCACCCACTGTTGGTGCATATCCCACAGGTTTGAGGGTTTCAGACAGACACAAGACACACCTTGGGGATTCCCAGGCCAGGTATGGGTCTGAGTCTCTGCTGCACTAAGGTGTTCATACACAAAAGCAGAGGGAGTAAGTGATATCCCAGGGTCGCCATTGATGTAGAAGTTTCGTGATGACACAAATGAGATGTGATCATGGAATGTTGCATGTGACTTAGCCAGGAATGTTTTCCTAGATGTCTACAGGTTCTCCAAATTCCCCGCCTGAAGTCATAGGTGTGTGGAAACCCTTAGAAGGGGGTGTTCATTAAAGGAGAATGCAGCCGCCTGGGATTGCACCCTGGGAGGCAGAACCAGAGATCCTGGGGTGCACCCGTGAACATTGTAGCTGAGAGGGAGGACGCGGAAATAAATTGTGCATCTGGTAGTTAAATTCCTCAGTTGTAGTTGATGGTGAATGTTGCACTTAAGAGCCAGGAGCACAAACAGTATCAAACACAGGAGAATAAAGGTGTTAGTAATAATGCTTGGGGAGCCTTGGAGGATTCCATGGCAGGCGAGGATGACCAAGGTGGGGGGACAAATATGCCAGGCACACAGAGCTTAAGTTTTATTAAAAAGAAAAAGGGGGTGGGGGGGGAGAGGTAAAGAGACACAGACAGAGGACAGAAGAGAAGAAGGAGACAGGAAAAATTCTGTCTGCCCCAGGAGAACAGCAGGAAAGAAAGAAGTGGACAGGGGTCTGTCTTTAAAGGTCCTTTGCACCTGTGTATGTACTAGTAGTCATGAGACCCTGGGTTGTCCAGGGTACTGCCTGAATGCATTCTGCCATGTGACAGGGTCAGGCCATTATAATGTTTGAATCCTTACAAAGGGACTAAACTGTCAGCAAAATGGAGGAGTTCGGGTGTCCAGTAGAGTGGTCAGTGATGTTTGATCTGTGAAAGGAGTGGGGAAGTCTGGGCAGGACAGGAATACCAGAGGGTGTTGTGGGTGTATGAAGCCAAGAAGGTCTATAAGGAGATGTCACTGGGAGGTACAAGATAGGATGGCCTCTGAGGCCCCTTCAACCCCAGTTGTGCTAATAGGGGCAAGTTCTTGATTTAGAAATTGAGCTGCCCACACTGTAATTTCCATTGACATTGGGCTTATCTTCCCAGGTGGCAGTTTCTAGACTCTGGGACCCATCCTGGATGTTTGGGAGAAGTGGGTGGGGGTGGAGCTAGAAGGGCCAAGGGTGACCAAGAGGTAAGAAAAATGTGGTGGGAGTTTCAGGGACAGGGTGTGTGTGTGTGTGTGTGTGTGTGTGAGAGAGAGAGAGAGAGAGAGAGAGAGAGAGAGAGAGAGAGAGAGAGAGTTAGGCGTTGTGGAACATGCATGTAATTCCATGGATGATGGGAATGGAGTCAGAAGGCTCAGGAGGTCAAGGCTTTGACCATGCAGTAAGTTTGAGGCTAGTCCGAACT